CCCATCTTCAGCATGATTATCAACCTTTTCCCAGCTACAATCAGTTCTGAAGAAGGTTCACTGGACCTGAAGCGTTAACTCTGCTTCTTCTCCACAGATTCTGCCAGTCCTGCTGAGTTATTGCAGTAATTTCTGCTTTTATTTCCCTCTGATCCACAATTCTTCCCAGGATCCTACTCTTCATCACATATTCCCTTGCCTTGTTTGACTTGCCCTAGTGCATCGCTCCTCATTTATCTGCCATGATTCATGTGAAGTCAAGTGTTTACTTGATTTACCATCTGAGAGACTGAAAAAAAAGCTTAATGTTGTTTTAAATTGCGATACTGTTCAAGCAAGTTATGTCAGTGAGAAAAAAATTCTGCAAGACTGTTTAAGGAAGTAATTAATACTACTTCATCCAAGAAAGCATATGTATAATAGATCTAAAATTGTGAATAAATATAAAAAAAATTACTTGAAGAAGGTGCAAAACGAATTTTAGTTATTGACTGCCTCATCATACCCGTTTCATTTCCCACTTAAGTTAAACCTGTTTTTAATTTTCTTCCAGTATTTTCAAAGAATTTTATTTTGGTCGTGGCCTGGTTTCAAAAAAAGCAGCCTTCAGCAGAGGTGAACACAGTTTAATTTATGCCTCCTGGAATTCTAGTTTCTAACCACTCATGCTGGTGAAACTTGCCTATTGAATGCACCGACTTAGAAATCCAGTGCTTTAGGAAACGCTACTGCTGCTGAGATGAACTGCTTTTATCTAGTCAACTTTTGGAACACCTTGTAGGCAAATCTAAACTCAACTTTTTGTATTTGATTGTGCTTCACCAAGCTAAAATTGTTTTAAAATGGTTAAACTCCAATGTAATGGGTGTAACATGTAAAAGATTTAAATTTGTTCTAATATTTGTTGGTGTCTTTCAATTAGACATTTACCTCTTAAGTACATAGTAAGGTTGAAACTTGAAATTCCATTTTTAGTTAAAGCTTAAATCAGCTACATGTGATGTAACACTACGGAAATTTGTTATCATTTCCTTCTTGGAGCACTGACCTCTATGAGGTACTCCCTGTGCAATAACTGTTTAACATGGTAAACTTGAATTGACAATGTATCTTTACTACTGTTTGTAATCACATCACCCTTAATATCTCTGAAATATTCAGTCAACTACATTTTATTTTGTGAGGAAAAAATATTTTGTCTTTAGTTTTTAAATGGAAAGATTAGCAGGCATCTTTGAGTGCTACAAACTGGTATGGGGTGGTCCTACACTGTATTTTGTAAGCATTAAGTATTTAATTCATTTGATCATGAATTTATTTGTAATTTTGAATAGGTGCAGTAACAGGGGTTGGGATGCAAAATACTAGTGCTGAAAGCTTTTTCTAATTTGTACTTGATACATTATATTGCCATACATTTATTTACTAAAAATGCGTGATGGTTCATTTATATGGAATATATACTAAAAGAAATTGTACAAGAGTTTAACATGGGATGCATATGGAATGTAATGAAATCACTAATAAATATTTATTTTAAATATAAAAGACTAATTCTGAGTGAACTTCTTTAAAACCAATTCTTTAATCATTTTAGTTTGCATTTGGTGAGGGGGGGAAGGATATGGGAGAGTGAGAGGTGGTGCAGGACGGAAAGGGGAAAATTCGGAGTAGGAAAACATGAGAGAGGAGGATGGAAAGAAAGATGATAGGTACGGGAGAGTTTTGATTTTGCCTTTTGCATCCTCTATCATGATGTGATGTGAAATTGATGAGAACGTGCTGCATGGCTAAACAGCTGGATATTTAGGATTTCTAGGCATAAACTGTACACTCAAACTGGTTTACGCAAACGGTTAACCACATGTTTCAAAATGAAGGTATAGTGGGAGAATGTGATTAAAACGGAGATATACTCTGCCTACCACAGTTTGCTCTTGCTTTCTTGAATTCAGAAATATTTACAGTATTGTGCGCTACATGAGTACTAAGCTGCAATCATGCCTAATAAGACAGGCCAACATCACCGTCTGCTTGACATTCAGCAGCATTGAAGATCAAATACATCATAGTCCCAGAGGAGAGCGTATGTTAAGCTCTCAGAGAGAAATGATTGGTAGTGAGTTTAATTTGAAGATCACCACATTTCAGGTGAGGGATTAAATTTGAAAGGCAGGGCATTTATGGTGATCAGCCAGTATAGAAATTGATCCTGTGCTGTTGGTATCACTGCATCGCAACAAGACATCCAGCAACTGTGTTAATAGGTCCCCCCACAATCAGTGGCATTAATGTTGTTGAAGGTCCACTTTTAATATCCTGAGGGTTAACATTGATCACAATCTAAGCATGTTACGTAAATGCCACAGCAATTGGAGCAGATCTGAATCTGGGTTTCCACTGACCATCCAGATTCTGAAAAATATTGCTTTTCCTTTAGCATCACTGGGTGAGCATCATGGAATTTGCTCTCTGATGGCATTGTCGGTCTATCTACACCAAATGGACAGCAGTGGTTTAAGAAGGCAGCTCACCACTACCATTTTGAGGGCAACTAAAGATGGCGAATAAATGCTGGCCCAGCCAGCGACGCCCATATCCCATGAATAAACGTTAAAAATGCATGAGTGAATGGGTTGGCACCGATCTCTCCAGCCTCTTGCATGGTGCAAGTTAGCAGTGTGATGGAATACTGTCTACACAGACCTACCCATAGCAGTATTTAAACATTTGATGCCAATCATGATGAAGCTGTTTGCTTGATTGACATTTCATGCTGATGTCAAAATGTACCGAGCACCACCAGAATGCCTTGGCTGCATACCAGCAATCGGACATATGCTTGAGGCTCTTGGTTTACACCTCCAAATGCACTTAGAGACTTAACTTCAGGACGTTTCTGAAGAATAAATTGCTTTGTGTGTGAAGGTACATTTTACTGCTGTTTTGATGATTGATAGCAGCAGGTACTGGTCACAAATGACTGGTTTTAAAAGCAGTCAAACAGAACTATTGACCATTAATGGCCTGAGATAAGGATGTTCCTGATTCAGAATGGTGAAAACATTTCCCGTTTTAAAAATTCAACTGCAGGACACATTAACTGCAGATGTGGGACCATTATGGGTAAATGATTGGCCCTCAGGTTACAGAAATGACTTTGAGCTGCAATGATTGCAGTACAATTGAGATCACTTCTGCAACCTGAGGGCCAATGGTATAGCCTCTTGAGAACCATTACTCTACTCCAGTAATCAATTGCAGTCAGTATTTTTATTCTATGTGATGATTTGTGAAAAGACTGCTTTAGCGGAATATTTACTGGAAGAGAGGGACATCAATGACACCACCTACATCTCTAATTTATCTTTTCTTTTGTGAATAGACAATTATTGTTTTAATCTTGCAGGATGTTAATTGATGCATTTTTCATTTGTAACAGTGGAAGAAGTGTGAGCATCTGTACATCTAGGCATTACCTATTAATGTAAAGTTGAACCATGAAGTTTAGAATTCATTTCATAAATTGTTGAAACAGAAAATATTGAAGATACTCTCTAGACAACACTCTTTGTTATTGATTCTGATTTCCAGGTTAGAAACACCTAAAACAAGTTGTGACAACAAACAACTTGCCATTTCAGTCATTGTTGGCTATAGTGACAATAAACCCAAGATGGAAGAAATTAAAGTTTGCTCTTTCAGATTGCAAAAGCCTTACATGTAACTTGACGATCTTGGTCCAATTCCAAGGGGCCTGAGTTGTGCTTTGTGTCATTGATAAAGATGAGGGAAAGGATCTTGGAAAGGAAAAGGATGTGAGGTGACTGTTATTACAGAGTGAGATCAATATAGTAATGAGAAATAATCTTGGTTCAGAGGATAAAAATGTAGAATCAGTTTGGCTAGAGCTAAGAAATAGCAAAGGAAGAAGTCAGTGGTGGGCATGGTTTAAAGGTCTTCGGCAGTAAGTGAATCAGAAGTATAAAGAAATAATGGATGTGTAAGGAAGGTACTGCAATAACCATGGGAGATTTCACACTTTACATGGATTGGACAAATCAAATTGGCAATGGTAGCCTTGAGGCTGAGTGCATAGTGTGTATTTGGGATAGTTTCTTAGTAAAATAATTGTGGATCCAGCCAGGGAGCAGGCTATTTTCAGACCTAGTAATGTAGCATGAGACAACATTAAATAATTATGTCATGTAAAAAAAGTTGTCTACATAAGAGTGATCATAACATGATAGAATTTCATATTTGGTCTGAGGATGAGAAACGTGTATCGGAAACTACTGCCTTAAACATTTTATAACTCATTCAAGGGATATGGGTGTCACTGGCCAGGCCAGCATTTATTGTCCATTGTGTAAGTTATGAGTCAACCACATTGCTGTGGGTCTGGAGTTACATGAAGGCCAGACCAGGTAAGGACAGCATCTCCTTCCCTAAAGAACATTAGTGAAATAGGTGGGTTTTTCTGACAATCAACAACTGTTTCATGATCACCATTAGACTCTTATTTCCAGATTTTTCTTTTAAATTGAATTTGAACACCTGCCATAGCATACTTTGAACCCAGGTCCCCAGAATATTGCCTGGGTCTCTTGATTTAGTAGTCTAGCAATAATACCACCAGGCTATTGCTTCCCCAATAAAGACAATTACCAGTGTCTGATTAAGAGTTTGCTAAAGTGGATTGAGAAAATAGGTAAGATGGTACAGAAGCAAAGGCATTATTTCATAACTCTCAACAAACATATTTTTTATAAGAGGGAAGCATGATCTATGCTAAGGAAGTCAAGGATCATATTAAAATAAAAGATGTACAATACTGTGGGCCTGAAGGTTGGGAACATTTTGGAAACAGTAAAAATGACAAAAACGGGAAGAAATCTTTAATGCAAGAGAAAACTAGCAATAGATAAATAAGCAGAGAGCAAAAGTTTCTAGAAGTATGTTTTAAAAAACGAGTAGTGAACATGAGCTTTGGTGTTTCAGAAGTTGAGACCAGGGATTTAATAATGGTAAACGTCGAAATGGCAGAGGGATTGAGCAAGTATTTTGTGCTGTTTTTCACATAGAAGATGTCAAAATATTCCCAACAACAGAAGGTAAGCAGACACCAAAAGGAAGTGAGGAACATAAAACAGTCATCACCAGAGAATAAACATTAGGAAAGTAAATAAGACTAAAGACCAAAAAATCTCAGCCTTCACCCTACAGCTTTCAAGGACGTGGCTGTTGAAATAGTGGATGCAATGGTAGTCATCTTCCAAAATTCCCTTGGTACCCCTACCCCACCCCAACAAGAAATGAAAAGCCATCACTATTGCAATGTGTTTTCATAAATAATATCTCAAATATAACAACCTATTCTATATCCTTTAATGGCCAACTTAAAATTAGATAAGCACATATAATACAAAGAACATTCTTTCCCATGCTGTCTCATTTTCCACTAAACACTCGGTTTATGCAACATCGCAGTGTTTAACCGGTATCCACCAATGCATGTAACATTTGTAACAGTTCCAACTTAAAGTCCTCCTTAATGCTGATTCTTAAAATCCTTCATCTCCTATGACTGAAAAGTGGTTAGATTGCTAATAGGCCCTTTCTTGTGATAAGTAAAGTCCATGCTGTTTCCACATCCTTGGTTAAAATGTGACACTTGTTTGGAAAATTTAGTTAGTGCAGAAGATAGGAGGAGGCCATTCAGCCCTTCAAGTCCACTTGACCATTCATCACAATCATGGCTCATCGTCCAACTCAATAGCCTAATCCTGTTTTCTCCCCATAACATTAGATCCTTAGACACCCACCATCAGGAATATCCTCCCTGCATCTACCCTGTCTAGTCTTGTTAGAATTTTATAAGTGTCTATGAGATTCCCCCTCATTCATCTGAACCCCAGTGAAAACAATCCTAACCTAGTCAATATGTCCTCTTCTGTCGGTCCGACTATCCCTGGAATCAGCCTGGTAAACCTTCTCTGCACTCCTTTGAGAGCAAGAGCATCTTTCCTCAGAAAAGGAGACCAAAACTGTACACAATATTCTAGGCGTGGCCTCACCAAGGCCCTGTATAACTGCAACAACACATCCCCACTCCTGCTCCTGCTGACATCTGATGAGTCAAGTACAAATTGTAGACTCTGAAGGAAATCCTGTTGTAATGCCTTTCACCTTCTGCATTCAATATTACCTCTGATTTTCCTTTAAAGCCAGATTTGTAAAAAAACAGTAGGACTTGCTGTTTCTGTACATTTTCTGTTTTGTGGTCTCCCCTTTCAGTACAAACTTGAGCTAATTTCTGTAGAGCTAGAGGTACAGCCTCGTTTCAGAGTTGTATTTTGCATTCCAAAACGTTTAGCCAAAGATCTTGAATTCCATTGCACCATTAGTTAGAATCAAGTCCCCTTGCTTCAAAGCATTACCTTTCTTTGGTTGTCCATTAGTTTTGAATTTTGCTGCTACATTGTTTTTTGACACCTCTGACTTAGAATATGCAGTCAAATACAATTAATGAAAATCCAATTTGGTTG